CTCCCCAGTACCTGCTGAACATCCTCCAGTCCAGCCATTGTACCATCTGATGCGGTCCCACAACTGGGCTAAAACACCCCCGAACTGTATGGCCAGAAGGCAGCTGGTAATGGTGAGACAGGCAGGCAAGTGGGGGCAGTAAGGCCGCCTCCCCGCTCACGCCCGCACCCCCCCGCTCACGCCCACACCCCCCTGCCGTCAGAACGCCGCTCGCCTGCACGCGGCTCCGACTGACGCAACAAGGGGCAACGCCGCCGTGACGAGTCTGAGAGACCGGGCCGCAGCGTGGGGATCCGGCGGGTGAGCAGATATCCAGAACCGGGCCGACAAATGGGAGGGAAGAAAGCAAGAGCAGGGGCAAGGCGGGGGGGAGAATCAGGGTGCGGGGAGTAAGATACAGCGACACCTCCGACAGCTGACATGCGCGAGAGCGGCGAGCTGAACTTCGCGTTGCTGTAACAGGAGGTGAAGGAGCGGTTTGTAACCATCTCCCACACGCAGGAGGATTTCCGTCAGGAGGAGCTGGGCCTCCGACGGGTATCCTGTCTCCTGGGAGACATCAAGGATGCGGGCTCCGTGCGAGTAAGAGGCAGCCTGCTGCTCGTTAAGCACCGGGTAGCTTTCACCTGGCAGGCAGAACCTAAGAAGCCCCGTTCGCACCCGATACGGCTCCGGTGGGGAGCGTAGAGGGGCCCGGGGTTCACCAGCCCCCTACACCGCCCGCTAGCGGCCCCTCCCTCAAACGCAGACTGTCACAGCTCCACTGCGCAAATTGCTGAAGCAGGAGGAAGATGATTAAGGAGACTGACGAGCAGCAGAGGAATAACAGCGGCTAATTCTGAATCTAGTGGATTAATCTTCCAATTCCATGGCCTATTTGCAGTAAATAAAGGATGTATTAGCAATAGTTCAGAAAATATTAATGTGGATCCAAAAACACATTAAGTGCGTTAAGAGCGGCACTGAACCCACGCGAGGCAGTGTGACTGGAAAACGCAGCAGGCAAAGTTCGCAGCATGCGCAGATTCAATACTTATAGTTACGAAATAAAAATAATGCCAAAGACCTGGGGATGATGCAGTGTTACTCTGACGAGCTGAATATCGGCAGCCTAACTGGGAAGGGGGGGGGGGGGGCGGTGCCACAGACGGGGGGGTCCTTACTGCTTTCTGAAAGGCCACCTGGAAAGACCTCCAGCTGTTTGACTTTAAAGGGGAACTGCGTGACGTCGACAGGCTAAGCTGTTGCTGTGCTCATCTCCACATCAGGAGATGATTTTTCCCAGTAATGGCGTGACAGGGTTAAAAAACGGCACCGATCGTCTGTCCCAAATCAGTCCAAAGCGGTTTATTCCGAAGCGTCACTATGGTGTCAGGGGCGATTTCGGAATGCGCCTTCAGAGGTGCCGTCTCACGGCGCGGTGTCGAGAGGCAGAGCGAGTCAATCCCACAACGATCTGCTCATCCGTGCTCGCTCCTATTTTCGGCCCAATTTTACGGCCCGTTTTTCATCTCCGGTTCAGTATCTGCCCCCCAGCGACGGCTTTTTACAGAGTTAAGCGTGAAGGGGGAACATCCCCTCCCCACTCCAACCCCCGCTGACCGCTAACCAAAAGGCTCCTGAGATCTGAGGCGGCTGGGTGCCCATCCGACACCAAGCCCACCTTCGGCGGAACGAAACAGTCTCTCAGCCACTAGGGGTCGCCGGTCACAATGAGCCAATGTCATGGCCTGTACTGCCCCGGCAAATCCGGTTAGAGGGATCAGGAGCTGTTGGGGAATGAGAGCAATGACCTCAAAACCTTTGTCATAATTACTGAACCCAGTGGCAAATAATTTCAGAGCTGACAGCGATGACAAGGCAGTTTCCCGTCTCCACTCTGACAAAGAACGTTAACATTAGTGATTCCAAAGAGAGTTCTGCACTCCAGAGCTGCGAATGGGAGCCCACAGGCCTGGCGCACATCGATTCTGCTGTTTTTCTGGGCTGCAGATCCTCCTCTGCTTGGGAGTTTTACTTAAATGAAAATGTTCTGAGGGCCGAAGTAAAAAATGATTGGTTCAGAGAGATAACCAATCAGATTATAGAGGAGGATGTGGGTCCAAGCAACCAGAGGAGTCAGGATCAACAGATGTCTTGGTCCTGCCTCCTCTAATCTGACTGGTCATCTCTCTGAACCAGTTTTCCTTCGGCCCACAGAACATATCTACGTAAGAAAAACTCCCACAAGCTCCCTTAAAGCAGGGGCGCCCTTGCCTGTTCACAAAGCCGCGAGCTACAGGGTGGTCAACAGCAAGCAGCCGTCTCCCTTTCCAGGTGGAATCCCTCCTTAAAGCCGCCCGTCGGTGTTGTCACTGGTGGGTCGGTCAGCACCATCCCCCGTTAAACGTTCTTTTTAACGCGTGTCACAACCAGAGGGGCTCACTCAGACTGAATGGTGACATGGTGCCGTCAACTGCCTGACTAGTGAGGCAGTGACACACGTGCTTCTGGTGGGGGGTGTGTCAGCCCAGATGAACCACAGACAGTGGCATCAGAAGGAGTCTGACACTGGGAGGGGGACCAAATTTGCCCTGGTAGCAGGTGGGGGGTGAGATGGAGGGTGTGTGCAGTGTATTTTGTGTCCACAAGCACAATAGTCACATCATGAAAGCAGCTGATGTAAAAGCTGCATTTTTTTTGAATAATGATGATTTCATTATTTAATACAAGAACACTGTTTGGAGTGCAGTTTCACAAGCACTTGGTCAGTAGCAGAGCGCCCCCTACTGTTACCCAAAAGACCCCCAAGGCCAAGGTGGAATTAATCATTAAATTATTAAACATCTCTTTGGTTAATGTGTGGGAGGAGAGTAGGTGTCCTCGTGGCCTGTTTCCGGCCCGCTGTGACGCGTCTCTGACCCGCCACTCAGACGGACGAGGTAAACATGCACTTCTGATTAAAGCGGAGGGGGAGAGAGAGAGAGAGAGAGAGAGAGATTCAGTTGGCGCATTCCCCCACCAAAAACATCACTGCAAAAAGACCTTCACACGCTGCTACCCACAGCTGACTGAAATGAATCCAAGGAGTCAGCTGACCCAGGAAGCTGCCTGGGCGGGGTTAAACGTGGAGGACTGGCGGTTACCCATAAGCCGCGCTGCTGCATGAGAGGAGAGGGACCACCTCAGCCGGGGCTGCCTCTGAGCCGAGCCAATCAGGAAGCACAGGGGTCACGCTCCTATCCAATCAGACAACCGGGGGCGGAGTTTAATAACGAGCGATGTCACTTCTTGTTTCATGTGACCCCGCCCACAATGTACTGCGTTCCTTTGATTGGCTTGGAGGTGGGGCTTGGTACGAGGCAGAAACCAATGGTTGCTGAGCCCTGAGGAGTGACATGGGGCAAACATGAAGTGGAACGTCGTGCTACGCTGAATTTAACAGCACTAAACATGCAAATAGGCTGCGACTCGTACTGCAGCCGACCTGGTTATATCAGCAGGAAGTTGAGCAACCTGCCACATCAATGCCAGCATTTAACCTTCATTTGGTTACCGATTCTATCCACAGTGACTCTCAAGCTACCGGTAAGCACACTGACGCCGTGTAGCTCAACAAGTAGAGCACAGCGCTAACGACGCAAAGGTCGCGGGTTCAAATCGCAGGGAGTAGACAAATCAGATAAATGAATTAAAAAGTAAACGTATGCAACTAGATGTATTATGGGAGAGATTCCGGAGGCTCCTCCACATACGTGCGTGACCTGGCCGCCTTCCAGGACGTAAGCCGTGCCAGTTTCGGCCTTAAACCCATTTAGTGGCTGCAGCTCTGAACGCAGACGGATTACCTGTTTCAGGTCTCCTGGAACGATCCGGCTTGGAAACTCATCTAATACAAGCGTTAAATCACACACATGAAATACAAAAAAGCCACCAGAGCCAGGTTAAATTGATGGTCTAATCAAATATAATGCTTACCCACATAACTGTCTGCATAAACAAATCATTCAGAGCGCAGCCAAAGGCAGACACATCAGCGCACTCTTATGTCTAACGCCTCGAATGGAACGGCATTTGCATACAGACCCGGACCCTCACACTCAGTGTTCTGTGGAGCCCAGTGTGGCGCTGAGGGGCAGGACTGCATCTGACAGCCAGGTTACAGCTTAACCCTTTCCCCATCTGAGTGGTCAGGATGCTCACTGAAGCAATCTGGGTCAGGGGTCCCCACACTCTCCATTCTCAGTCCTCATTGATTGGTTTCATCTTCAGATAATCATTATTTCTACCGTCTTCTGGCAAAAAGCATGGAGTAGTTTTCATCGCCAAATTACATACGGCTACACGGTCAAGTACTTTCACTTGAAGCACAAACAACCGGACGGAAGCCATCCCCTTCTGGACAGATTGTGAGAAGACCCAGTGCAGAACTGCAGGAGACCATGCTGCTTTGGAGAAGTAAAAAGTAGATGAGGCGGCTGCCGGCCATCTACGAGATAGACAATCATCACAACAAAGAACATGGCACTGGGAAAGCGGGCGACCCAGTGCAAAGCGGGGACGCTGAGATGGAAAGCACTGTGGCTGTCAAGCGCTGACGTCGCCTTGACGGCCAATAATGACAGCGTGTGTGACAGGCCACACAGCTCGGCAAAACCAACACGCACGGCCGTCCTTACCTGCCAGGCGATCAGGTCCTTCAGCTTCTCGATCTTCTCCAGGTCCTCAGGGTGCTCCTGCGTGTACTTCTCTGTGAAGAAAGCCTGGAGGAGAGGAAATAAGAGAGACAGCTGTAAGTGACAGCCCTTCATCCCCAACACCCCCCTCTCGCCACGGCAGAGCTGGACATTTCAGGCCCAGAAAGCAAAAATCCAGACCAGGACTTTGTTTCAACCGGCCAGTTGAGTATAAAGAGTCACATTCACAGGGTCCTCATATGGTTGGTCTAAACAAAATCTTGGTCTGGATTTTAACGTTCTGAACCTGAAATGTCCACCTTTGGTGAACAGTGATGGAAAGATTCACACAAGCCTGTAGGACCAGTGGACGGTCATGATCACCAGGGAAAGGAATGCAAGATGTGGAGATCCTCACATTCAAAACGGGAGGCGGAAGCAGAGAGGAAACGTTATGACGCAGCAGGATGGGAGACATCCCTGCTCCTCTCAGGGAGCAGACCCAGAGGCCACACTCCGATCAAAGCTTCGTAGAGATTATAATTGGGAGCGTAAGTTGATGCTGACTGCACTCACCAGCATGGTCTACGTGATAATGACCCAGGACATTTGTCTAAAGCACTTTTGGTATCTGTGGGCTGGACCAAAGTTCTTGAGGAACACCTCAGCAGGAGACCTAGAGCACGACCCTTCTTGGGGCTTGAGCACGCAGCCTTCTGGCTGTAAGCCCATACACACTGCCACTCGTGTTTACTTTTGGAAGATGTTCTGGAGAAGTTTCACAAGGCGAGCACCTTCTCGTAGTTGGTCAGGCCTCCCATGACGGCTGGATCCACGACGCCGTTCAGCAGCATAGAGAGGGGGTTGATAGGAAGGTTGGGGTCATTCAGATGCCTCTGCACCATGTTGTTGATCTTCTCGTTCGTCAGCTGCATGGTTTCCATGGCGTTCTCCAGAGGACTCACCTCCTCCTGCACACAAAGAGGGACAAACAAGATCACGTGAGGACACAGAACAGGCATCACAGCACGGTTCTGGTCAGCAGAAATGTTCAGTTCTTTTGTCCTCGTGCTTCAGAGCAAGATGTTCCCACAGATGGGAGAGACACCCGCAAACGAGATAATTACAGCATGTCAATCCCGCGATGGGCAGCCTGGGTGACCTTCAGCGAGGAAAGCGACACCAAGCAAGTGCAGCATATTAACAGTAAGGTGCGGGACAGGGTAATATTAATATCCTGGGCCGCACAGGATCTCTGGCAGCAGGACTATAATTGACTGCGTAATGCCAGGGGAGTGGAGTACAACTCATCTCCAGAAGACCAAACTTAATGAAATGCAAAAGCCTGCATGTTTTCAAAGGCAAGGCGACTCTTGGGTAATGCAACAGAATGCCTTAAAGGAACACCAGCAGTAAAACTGAACACTTGATGTCGGTGTGCTTTATGGATATACATATACACACACACACACACACACACAAATATGTCAATAATATGGAGGTTGCTGTTCAGAGACCTCCTGAGAATCTTTGGCCCTTTAACCTGGTTAACTTGGGCAGACTTAATAAAAACGAGCATGAACCATCCATAAACAATGTTACCTGCATCCCCTGAACTGAATGCAACCTACGGCAGATTCCCTCAGGGGCTGAGGCTAAAAGAGCTAAGCTGGGGATTCGGGAAGCAGAGCTCACACCCAGCAGCAGAGCGGATCGGAGCCCACTCGCACCCTGGAAGGCTGACCGTCCCTGTCTGGGCACGGAGCCCGAAACAGATGCCCTCCAGCAGCCGGCACCACAATGGACCAGCCTAGTCAGTTTCAGCGATTAATCCTCTCATTACTGGCCAGCTTTTTTTTTTTAATTACCAGGTTGCCGGTATAATTTAGTAACCATCTGGGTAACCTGTGATACACGAGGTCTGGCCGACGGGTGCCAATTGCTGACCCGTTGGACTGTATAAGGTCGCAGGACCTGGAGATTAAACTCACGTTAACGCCGAGTCAGCACACCGACATATTCCCGTGTGCAAACCCCATGTGCCATTTTACCGAGCTTCACAAGGGTGGGAAGCAAACCAAGAGCAGTGGGAAGTTCTGCACACTGCAGCCCAAGCCGGAACTCCAGAAAAAGGGTCATTATATAAACAGGTACAAGTGATTGTTTCTTGTTACTGGGCAAAGACACTTAAATTGTGTTTCTGTTCATAAATTTTGCATATGGTTTCAAAAGCCTACCTATAAACAATACAACAAGCCCTTGTATAATGTTAGACAGTAATTCTGTTTTTAATATTCATGAGAACAGCATAAAGCAACTTGGATTTTCCAGAAATATTCTCCTCTGCCAATTCTTTATCATAGTTATTATTGAGTTTGGTCAAACTGAAAGATATTTCTCATTATGTTTGGTTTCATAAGAACACAAGAAGGTAATTTAACAGCATTTCAACTAACGGTATACACGCACACAGACAAGCAAACACATGTTTGTATTTGTGGGGACCTTCCATTCAGTTCTGTGGGAAATCCTTCCCCAGCCCTAACCTTAAGCAGCCAAACAAAATACAAGTCTTTTGACATTTTTAGTTTTTTGACTGCAGCTGATATAACAGTTACCTACCAGAAACAATGATCCTAACTTAGGACGATACTAAGGAACTGGGACACACTGAATCTACACCCCTACACTGTGACCCCATACAGAAACGCATAAGGGGCCAGATCCTCCAAATTAAAATGCACCCGTGGAAACATGCGCCTCGGCCAGGCTGTTCAACCTGCTTCCACCGGCTGCAGCCGCATGGAATCCACAGTGAGGCATTAATCAATGAGTCAAGTAGGCTGTTAGACCCCACCCACTGGCCCCCACCACTCTGCTCGAGCCGCGTGTTTGCAGAGAGCCCGGCGTGAGGCTCATTAATGAGCCTGCCCGCGTAGCATTTAAGTGGGCAAATCCCATTGATCCCCGGGTCCCCCCCCCGCCGCCAACCCAACCAGACAGGGGAATGATGAAGAAGCCCATCCCCCACTTGTGCACGGCACGCTTACCGTGAAGGAGGAATGCACCTCGAACCAGCGCAGGATTCCTGGCAGTCTGTACGCCGTCACGTACGTGGTCCTCTCGATCCACATATTCTGGGGGGGTTGGGAGAGAGAGAGAGAGAGAGAGAGAGAGAGAGGAAGGGACTCAGCCAGAAACAGTAGATTTCCAAAAGTCTCTTTTTCAATGTAGCCCTTTCCTGCTTCTGCTTATTATGGGCTGCAGGTTTATTACCCTGGTGACGAGTGCTCAGGTTATTAGAATATAACCCCCTTAGCAGCCCATAGCGCACAATGAGGGACACAAGGCCAGCGAGAAGCCCACAGATGGACCACAATGAAACCCACCCTCAAATACAACCCTACATTTCGTGGTCTCACTTGGCAGAGTTTTTTTGAATGCAAATTTATATTTTTGATACTATTGCTACTGAGCAATTAATTTTTACACGAAAAACAACAAAGCAAAGCATAAAAATAATTCGGCAATTTACAAATATTTAAAAAATCTTACAATGCGAACTGAGGTCGAACCAAAATATCTGCAAAACAAATATGCATCACAAGTCTATGGCATATAGACATAAAACAAACAAATAAAAAAATAATAATTACTGCAAACTCATTCTCCGGATCTTTCTCTCCCTTCCTAAAGGGCCTGGAGTACTGGAACTTTTGGACTTCATTCACCGTATAAAAGCTATAAGGAAAAAGAACAATAAAATAAGCCAAAAATGAAATACACAACATGCTTTATAAACCGGATCACACAGCATCATTTAGCGCCAGAACGTACACAGGGTTGGCGGTCCTTTGGTTTTACCCCTGCTTTAACAAAACAGGCAAGATAATTTACTCTACACCAGACCAGTGCAAAAGGACAGTTAGAAAGGACACAAGAGCAGGCTGAGCGGGGTGCGGAGGCTCAAGGTCGGGCGCCACAAATCCGCGCATCAGCACTGCGGCCCTGTAGGTCGTCGGTCTGCATCCAGCATTCCTTCTGCACTTCGATCACGGGGCACTGGTCCTTCTGACGATCTACAACCATCGCATTTTACAGATGCGTCACTTCCGTTTAAAAGACGGCGTAACTGCTGAGCCGCATCAGTAATGCATCATCATAAATACAGCCGATGCGCTTATATATTATACTATAAGTCTCCAAAAAGTCTCCAATAACACCAGAAAAAGTCGCTAGATTTGTCGCTAGTCGCTTTTTTGAAAACTAGTCGCCAAAGAGGTCTAAAAACTCACTAAATATAGCAACAAAGTCGCTAAATTGGCAACACTGCTCCCATTACGCACGACCACTTTTTAAACGTATTCTAAACGTGACATTTCCGAAGAATACTCATAGGAGCAGAGGCCGAGGTGTGAGCCAGACATAGGTTTAATGACTTTTTCTTTTAAGCTTGCTGTTTGCACTCCAATTAGCTACTGAGATATAATCCTGTGATTTGGAGAGGCGGAGTTTCCCCGCGCGCCCTTCACGTCTCCCCGCGCAGACTCGCTTAATCCAGGCTATTAAAACGACGGCAAATTCACATAATCGCACAGGTAAACAGCAGCTGTTGATACTCTTCCGGCGTTTTAATCTCGGAGCAAACACCGTCCACTGTTTACACAAGCGCCCGGCCGGTCAGACTGGACCGTGAGCCGCCGAGCCGGACATCATCGACCCCGGTACACGGCTGTTTGCTGGAGCTCCGAACCAGTACAAACCGGCCCATGACGGCGTTTCGCCATTCCCGTGTTTCATAGCAGCCGTGTTTATTTACATGCTGATCATTTAGGCGCCTCCCTGTCGTATTAACTACTTCACATAAACTCCATCATCCACAATCCCATGCTAGCCCATCTTCAAATTTAAGTGCCACTTAACATAAAGAAAATTTTACCACTCACGCACGATTTAAATGACTAAAGGAGAGAATCCAAATTTAAAATTATATTAGTATTCACTTATTTTCCTACAATGTGCAGATTTTATCTCTCTTGGGTTGTGATTTCACTAATAAGGTCAGGGGGTGTCTCTCAATACTCATATGTGACCGTACTTGTGTTCTTGTGTATCTGTCCTATGTCATCTTACTAGAACAGTTCCTATACTAAGTAGAGAAATACAGAGGTTCTTAATACACTTAACACCCCAGATAAACAAAGCATTCGCATTACATCATCTGTGGAAGGAGCACTGATTGTCTGAGGACCCTGGCTGCGAGGTTCGCGCTGCATGCTGATCACTGGAGTGGGCAATAGGTCTACCACTGATTTTCGTTTTCATCTGATTCAAACCAATACCACGGTGGTTATCGCCGATACCGATATTCATATCATTATGCCCCGTCTCACACCTTAAAGGCTAGCTTACCCGTTAGTGGCTTATGTTACGCTCCTTATGACAAAATAAACATTTAAAGTACCAGGTTAAAATAAATGTTAACATTACAGTGGATTCTCAAAAGGAAACATTCAGATCGAAGGAATGGATTTTTCAGCCTCAAGCTTAGTCGCCACACAGGCAAACAGTCGTAGCAGAGAAGACAGCCCACCTGACGATCTGTTCTGACACCGACTTGTTCTGAAACTTAGACGGCAGCTCCAGTTTGGGCTTCACGGTGAAACACTGGATGTCTGTTAGAGAAAGTTAAGGATTTTTCTGTTTCGTTTAAGAATACAAACACTGAAGCAAGTGAAACAGCTAAAGACTGGAAACCTAAATAAATTATCAGGGGGAGGCAAAGATATTTTCACGTTTCTGTAAAATAAAGAAATAAAATGATTCTGTATATGTAATGAAATTGCAGGTAAATAGCTCTTTAAGTTACAGCTGAAATGATCACATGGGCCCCGCCCACATGGGCACGGCACACAGTAAGGCCCCGCCCACATGGGCATGGCGAACTGTAAGGCCCCGCCCACATGGGCAAGGCAAACTAAGGCCCCACCCACATGGGCAAGGCAAACTAAGGCCCCACCCACATGGGCAAGGCAAACTGTAAGGCCCCGCCCACATGGGCACAGCGAACTGTAAGGCCCCATCCACATGGGCGTGGCACACTGTAAGGCCCCACCCACATGGGCATGGCACACAAAGGCCCCGCCCACATGGGCACGGCACACAAAGGCCCCGCCCACATGGGCACGGCTCACTGTAAGGCCCCGCCCACAGGGACTGCCTGAGAGTGCACTATGCGACAGTGCAGGATACACTGTCCAGAGGAGTTCTTGATGTCCTCCGTGGGCGGCGTGGTCGTCTTCATCTTCTCCGCGTTCGGGAACTGGGTCAGCAGCCTTGCCTCAAAGTCTTCCCGACGTTCATACTCCTTTCCTCTGTAGATGAACATCTTGTTCTGGAACGGAGGGACGAGGTGCGTTCAAAGCCAGTGAGAGTGCCCCCCTGTGGTTGCTGAGACCATTAAGGCTGGACGGCATTGTGTAATGGCTGTTTCCCAAGTTCCCGTCCTGTTCCTTCATAACGATCTCAAAGCAAACTCAAGCCTTCACCATGTTCTACCAACATCTCTAACTCCACCCTCACCCATCTTGACTGACGAATGTGAAATCACACCCCAAGTCACATGGTACAAAGGGGGCGGGGCCTGGCACTGGTAGGAAGAGCTACTTGGAGAGCAAAGGGGATGCCTTTTTACAAAAAGGGGGACCCAGCCCGGACTGACCCGTCATTAACCGTCCACCAGGAGGCAGGACTCCACACTAATAATCCATCTGGACACAAATAAAATCAGTAGCGAGTAGGAAGGCCTTGGAAATAAAATGAGCACATCTGAATACCCAGATGGCAGCAGTGGGCATTTAGTATTTACCGTCATCACCTGAAATGCGTATGACACTGCATGCGTAATGAAATGCGTAAGGCCCTCGCAAAACTGGCTAGTCGAGTCACGCAGATAAAGCTACAATTAATATGCATCACAGCTATACGGGAATATTTGCAGTTATTGCGCTATCCGTTCGGTTAACTGTTGCCTTAAAGGACAAGGCTCTCCAAAGTGCCCGATCCTGAATTTATGACTACACTTTAAACAATTAACTCTGGTTCACAGATTAAATATGAGAACTGCTGCATTCGTACAGCCTGCTTTCATAGTAATAGACTGAACTTACAGTGTGAGAGCCACGCGTCTGTTCTTACGGATCACATTAGGGATCTTAATGTTATTTAAAGTTTCCGAGGCAAATTTTATGAGATGTAATTTCACAGCATCTCTCTCAGACAGCATAACTTGCACAGCTACGTGTGGAATTAAATTACGGCTTGGAAGAAGCATCTACAGGTACTGTCACCCCAGGCAATTTACCTGGGATTTCACAGCAAATTTTCATCAAAGGTTCAACAGAAGTTCCCCTTCCAGGATTTGAAGGCTCCTTATACTTGCGTCACTGTGTTCAGTGACAGTCAGGCTGCAAAGAGGTTGTATTTTGGCGGCACGGTGTTTGTTGAGTCCGTGTTCATGAGGAATTATTAGTCACATGCATGACACTGGCTCCGCACTGATGGATCTCACTCGCTTTTCACACTGAACCGTAATACCTGGCAGTGCAGCACTAATCCTGGATTACTGTCCGCATTCAGGCAGCTGTAGCTGCACAGACACACTGACAGAAGCATATCAAATCAGGGAGCCCTCGAAACTGGGACGTGTAAAGTAGGAACGAGGCACTTTGCTGCCATAACATATGCGGACAGATTTGGGAAAATACCGGTAAGTAGATGTTGGTAGCTGAATAAGGCACTTTCTCTGCGAATCAGTTTGAACAGGGGGAACAAAAATAGTTTCTCAAGCTGTGTTAAGGATTTATTCATATAATCTATTATTTTCTTAGGAAAACACCAGCTATGTGCCACCATGCCAATTAATTTGAAAACCCAGAGCTTATAAATCAGAGAGCTACAGCGATTTCTCTCAGAGCTGATACTTATGTCATAACATACAGTATATATCTTAAAATAAAGACCGAACGAGCCGCAGTAGGTCGGTCCACTGCTGACGATGACTGTAATGTTTAGTGTCGCGATGGGATTCAGAGCGTGGAATTAGAACATTAACTGCATGTGCATCACTGCATGGCTTAGGGGAGCAGTGACAAGCTTCTGGTCCCCATTTTACCCCTACAAACCACAGGGAGCCCAGCATGGCACTGCACCCGGGCCATCACACTGCGCCCGGGCCATCACACTGCGCCCGGGCCATCACACTGCGCCCGGGCCATCACACTGGACACTCCATGGGGGGGGTTGGCGGGTGGGTTTGCTCTCCAAAGGAGAAGTGCGTCCCCCTAATTAACTTTACAGATTAATTTCAATAAAATTAAGTATCTTGAGTGCATAAAAGAATATCAGGAGTCCTCAGTCTCATTCAAGAAAGCCCCATGAGATAAGGAGTCTAGTCCCTCCTCTCTGGGGCATTATGTGTCATTAATGTATAATATTTAAACAATCCTCAGTACTCTGACGAGCACAGACAGTATGAAGATGAACACTGCCACACCTGTCCCGCTGTGCATCCTGGGCTAGCTGCAGTAAACTCATTTTCACCTGAACAACTGAAGCCTTCTGCCCTGAAATCTCCCCAGTCCTCAAACCAGCCAGTGCCCTAATGCATGTCTGCCACATGTGAGAGCTCTGTGCGTGGGTGCTGACCCCGAATTAGCCCCCGCTGGCAAATAAAGGCCCCATTAAAAACAGTCATGCTGTGAGTGGGAGGCACATTTCCTCATTTATGGGTTTTTACATAATTTGTTTTTGCGGTTTTCTATAGCACCAAGACACCAACAGCCACACAAACAACCGACGGCCCATCTTCCCCGTGTGTATATATGCAAAAAAAAAAAAAAAAACATATAAGCAACCATATAAAAGCAAAAAAGCAAATGTAATTAAAGCTACTTCCTGATGACTGGTAGTGCTGTGTCTGATGTTAAACGCCCATTTTTAATGACATCCTATTGCATACATTTTCATTCCAGTCCTGCGAGGCCCAGTCTTACCCTGAGGAAGGAGGGGAATCCCTGGCTGTAGTAGCCGACGGCGAAGTAGTCTGGCTTGGGCCTGATCACCTTGACAATGTTCTCGTAGAACTGGGCCTGCTTGCGCTGTAGGAACAGGGGCACCAGCCTGGAGTGAGCAGGCACATCCGGAAGCTGAAGTGGCACGTTGCGCCGCCACATTTACCTCCAGAGTGACCGTGTTTACCATCACTCAAAGCACGCATTTGTGCCTTGGGGGCCCCCTGTTGGCCACAAGCAGTCACTACACTCAATAATATATATTACACTAAATACACCCACTAGCTATTTATTTAGTTTTTGAAACATCTGAAGGGGGAATGGGGGCCCCAATATAATTCTTGAGTGGGGGCACCGGAAAACAACAAACGGAGCCCCGGCTGTCTAGGGAGTCGTCACTCACCAGCAAGGCGCTGAGCTGCTCGAAGTCGAACATCTCGTTCTCGTACTGCTCCGCCAGCTCCTTCCCCAGAATGATGGCCTCCTCCCACATCTGCTCGGCGGAAAGGACAGCACGAATCCCGGCGTTACATTTCCGAAAGACAACGTGTTCTCAGGCAAAAGCCACTTTGTGCGCGACAAAGAACTGCAGACGGGGGGGAAAAAAACAAAAACATTCCCTTATTCCGCACTAAAGCGAAGATAAATAAAAGATGTTAAAATGCTGATGGCAGAGAGCAGATGCTTTCTGGATCGGCGCGTGCTGATGTATTCTCACAGATTCTCGAGGCTTTTCACGGGAACGGAGGTGCCGCCTAAGACGGGAGCGAATGTTAATGTTTCGCCTGCATTTGTTTATCGGATTTTTGCTGGGAATCACGTCTGTTCCCGGCATCGTGAGGGGGAAATGCCCCCCCGTCGGAGCTGCGAACTCCAGACCCAAATTTAATTTACCTTAATACACTGTCGTTACTCCCTGTTACCTGGGTGCATCAGTTATTCCCGCAAGATGGTCTTCAGAATCGCGCTTATTAATAACAAGGTTATAAGAGATCACATGACGTGAGTGGGTGGAGGAAAACAGGAACGGCCCTCGATCGGCGGTTCTACAGAGGCCAATTTGGGAGGGGGTGGGGGGGTTTAAGGGAAAACGATCTAAGATGAGGTAACATGACCTCACATCTGTCTGGCAGCGGATTCTATCTGGCAGTGTCTGCGACACGCTGTTCTCAGAACAGCTGCCACCGGCATGGGGGTCTACTCCGGAGCTCACCCCACCCTGTCCTCAGCTCCCAGAGTGGCCCCCGGCTGGCTAAGCACCTTTGCGTCAGCCGTGAGATGACAGCCCCCATGGGGAAGCCTAGAGAGTACAAAGCCCCCACTGGATGGGAGATCTCCCTGTAGATGGAGACATCTCTGCACTCCGCACCCCCCCCCCCATCCGCAGTATCCGCCTGTGAATCAGGAACACGGCATCAGGGAGCCACGCACCGCACAGAAGGTGGGGAGCGCGAGTCAGACGCAGCAAGGAGAGGCTGTCAGAAAGGACCGTGGGGGGGGGGGGTGTCGCATTAAAGAGCCATTCGCCATTCCCCGGCCCCCTCGTCTACCATTGCGCGTGGGGGCGGGGGGGATTACAACGAGCTGCATGGGTTATGCTCACGTTCTGATTTTGGATGATGAACAACCTGCCTTTGTCAATTAAGCCCATATTCCCCTACTTACGGGGCTCAACCCAAACAGGCCCCCCCCTCCCCAGCCCTCACCCAGTGGCCCCAACACCCCCAGGGCCCCCACCGATAGCACTGACCTTGCCCTTGTCAAAGTAGCTGATGATCTCTTGGTAGAGCTGCTCCTTCAGCTGTCCCTGCGTAGCCGCCTGATAGCCATCCCTCTGCGTCAAGTGGGCGGCACACGGAACCTCGGACCACTAGTGACACACCGAGAAGGGTGGCGGTGAGCCAATGGGAAGGCGGCCCGTGGCCCGGCCACGCCTCCTCGCACGGGGGAAACCACACGTGCAGTCGCACATCGAAATGGAACCGCATGAACCAATCACGTGATCGTGAGGTCATGTGACCATGCGGTCAAGCAGTGGACATCAATGGCAAATCTCAGGGAAGAGGCGAGGGGACAGTGGGGGTGACTTGGCGTCCCTGTGCCCTGTGCCCTGTGCCCCAGCCGACCCAGAGGACACATATCCGTATGAAATCAATGCAAGCTCATTTCCCAGCGCACATAATTAACATTTCCATCTTTTGTGGGAGCTATGAAACGCTATAAAAGACATGGACGTGCAGAAATGAGCCGGTAATTAGGGTGGTGCGAGAAAAAGCACCTCTGAAAATGATGAACGGAGACTGACAGTGAGCTGTATGGGGGGGGGGGGGGGTGTAAAACAAGCAAAGGAATCATCCGGAACACATGCAGGGTTTTGCTTTGCCGTTCTTAATTTATTTTCCCACACAGGATAAAGTCATCAATAACATTCTGGAAAACAATATTAGAAGGAGGGAGATTAAACTGACACACAGTATTTCTGCAGTATGTCACGTAACCCTTCCGACGGGCCGCCTAAATCCCGCCGTGGGGAGCGGTCTTGGTGGCCCTCCGTGAAGCCGGCCCGCAACGGGGAGATCACACCCCGAGCTCACTCCTCAACTGATCTAATTTTACAGTATAATAAGGCCGCACGTCTCCCTGGGAGTGGAGAGCAGCTTCCATCAAGGAATCCCGGCGCCACCATGGACCAGAGCTAAAAATAGGCCATGCTTACACTCCGAAGCGCTCGCTGCAGGACACTGGGCTCCGGCAGGGCGGCAGCGACTCGGGCCCAGCCTGCCCCCCTCCCAGCTTCCTGCTCCAGAGGGGAGACGGACGCAGAGGCTGTGGGTGTTGAGATCCAGGAGGGACCTTTTTATAGCAGTCTTCCCCCAAAGACATCAGAGAAAGTTAATTCTCATCAGTTCTTTGCTTTTCTTATATTTCAAACCCACTTCCTAATTAAGTTTTTTTTTCTTACGACTTGCTCTTGTTGTTTACGATGAAGCGGTGTCCCACATCTCCATGAGCATGTCTCGGCAGGTGACGGGGCTGTGCAAAACAACCCCCCCCGACAACTCCCGCCGGGAATGACAAGGGGGACACCACAGCTGGAACGGCCCACGCACATCTGGATGTGTAACTGCGCCGCGCAAATGCACACTGCGAACAGCGGAGGTCGCGGTGACGCCGAAGAGACATGCATTGGTCAAGGGAGTGGATAGGAAGGCAGCGAGAGTGGGACGCGGGCAGCGCCGCGGACGGCACGGTGAGGACCCCACGAGGGCTGACCTTGAGAAGCTTGGCGTGCAGAAGCAGCGTGTAGGCAGCCTCTGTGTAGTTGTCACACTCTCTGTGGAGGTCACACAGTTTGTACAAGTACCTGAGAGCGAGAAAGAAAAAATTAAGGAGCCAAGATTCGCCTGGAATGCCCGAGTGTTTTCAGAAATAACTGCAGCAGGCATGCAGAAATACCGACTGCATTTAATAACTCCGCCCCACTATTTCTTTTTAACAGCTAGAGGTGTGACAAGCAAGACTAATACTGAGTGTGTCTTGTGGTGCAACATGGTGTTAGTTCACTCCTTAGATGGTCCCTCTGATATCACATTTAAATTTGCAGGCGATTCCTCTACAACGGTCACCTATTTTTACTAAGATCAATCACAGAAATTCAGGAGAGGCTAAAACAAAGTATGAACTGTACCAGCAATAGTGGAGGATAGAGAGACACCAGCCCGGATTCCTTTAATCCAGTGCTTCCAAATCCGGTCCACGTTTTTGCTCCCTCCCAACTCCTTGCCAGACAGTCCACACCGGGGACCGATCTGGGAGGGAGCAAAAACGTGGACCGTCTGCGGGTCCCCGAAGACCCGATTGGGAAGCACTGCTTTTGGCAGTCCAATTAAAGCACCTGGCTTATGCTGAATAACTGGCCATTCGGTAACAGTGATGCGTAATTGTCGACAAAGCATTCCTCTCTCTGAGCAGAGGCAGCCAATCACAGCCGAGTGTGAAATCACCTGGCTGACTACAGACTAGTGCCGACCATTTACTGATCAAACACATGGACACGGGCAGATTAACAGGTGCCTGCCCACACTAAAGAGGGCACCACCCTGTGGCCACACACAGCACAGCCGTCCAAAAGGAAATGAACGATCGTCAATGATAAACAGATTGGGAAGTTTTCATACCTTATGTACATCTCCTCCCTTTCAATCTCTTTGTAGAAGTTCTGGAGAAAGAACAAAACTCATCACCACACATGACAAGTATTTTAACATGATTATTGTTTAAATCTCTATTGGATTTTTGCAGTAAACAAAGCATAACAGAATTAATCCAAACCACTGGTTACTGACCAAAAATCTACTTAAAACCCCACAGTCTTCCCCCACACCCAGTCTTTTACATTGATTCTTAATGCCAAGAACTCCGCCTTTCTGGGCATTTCCCCGAATCGGTTATACTGCAGTACGGGAAAAAGGGGCCATTAAACGCAGACGCGAGTCCAAAAGCTCGCTCCAGAGAACAGCTTCCACAAAAGAGAATCAATGTCGGCGGCTGGCGAGATGGACCTCTTACAGATCTGATTACCTTGTAGCACGGCGCTTACTGTGAGGAACAGAAAATTAATTTCGCCCAGGGACAATGGGGAATGCCCAGAGTGAGGACAGGCAAATCAGGAAGGGGCACGGAGGCAGGGGACGGAGGCGGGGCACGGAGGCTGCGGTCAGCTCTGCTCACACACTGAGATATACAGCAGTGTTTCTCAGCCCGGTCCTCATGAGGCCCGAGTCAGTCCACGTTTTTGTTCCCTCCCAGCTGCCTCTACCAGGTATTCAGAGCCCTGTTTGGTTCATTCACATTGGTTTGGTTTCACTTGTGCTGGGAGGCAGCAAAAATGTGGACTGTCTTGGGGTTCCCGAGGACCAGGCTGAGAGGAACAGGAGTCTCAGTCCCCAGGGTTATGAAGCGGGTACAAAGGGCACCAGTGCATCTGTGCAAGAAGAAGAGTGCAACGGCATGGATACAAGTTTAGAAACCAGGAGGTGAAAGGTGCGAATGTGTGGAATTTTACACACCTTTTAGTATTAGAGTGTTAATGCACAATATACAAAAGTGAAATGTAAGGAAGCTGACCAAAAGGAGGGTAAACAAGATAGTGAATACTATGGTAAACAATGGAAACCAACTCAATCCTGCCAAAAGCTTCACTGCCCACATACTCATGACGGAACCAAATTCCAAGAGAAAACAGACTGTTTCGATTTTCAGATCCGGTGGTGCTTAAACAACTGAAGACCTCAGGCAGGAACACAGAGCCTCACACAGGACAGAGCCGAGTGCTCGTCCGGGCAGTCGGGCAGACGCACAGAAGTCGGCTGAGGTGTGTGCGGGTGCCGACGGCCTCTGGTCGCGGCCTCACCAGCACGTTGACGGTGCAGCTCATGCGATTCTCCTTGTTCTCGTCGTGCATGATGGTCCTGTAGTCCAGCAGACGTTCCAGCAGCCTCACCACCAGTGTGACGAAGGTCTCCCCGTTCTTGGCCAGGTACTTGTGCTTGCGACAATGTTCCTGAAGGCTGGGGAATATGGCGCCACATCAACACAAATCGGGGGGGGGGGGGGGGTACACTCCTGTAGCTCATTACTACACTAATTATTCCAAGGGGCACCATGGCGCAATTATAATGATGTGGCACGCCACCTCCCGTTCGTAGCCATTAAGTGACACTCACATCTTCTGGAAGAGGACCTTGTACTGCTCGTCCCCGCGGCCACCCTCCACCTCGTGATCCAGCTTGGTGATGATCTCGTTCTCGAACTGCAATTAGGAGGAGCGAGTGCAAATGATCAGCCGGGCTCGTTATCCGTTTCATTGGCAGAGCAGCTACCCGCTGCCCGTGTCTCTGGGGCAGCGTTGGGTTCAGGCAGACGGGGATGGGATCAGCTCCGCTTCATTTTAAGGTGCCACGACCACGAGCTCTGGCTAATCTATTAATTTCCACTTATGGGTACCCACTGGGTCAGTGAATTAGCGAGGTGGCGGGGGGGTGGGCAGGACAGTAGGCCACAACCAGCTGTGATTCCCCGCCTTTGCCAAGGTGATGGGGCCGTGTCCCTCCACCACTTAATGAACCAATTATTAAGCACATTTGTGAAAGCCCAGTAGTGGTAAGCTGGATAAAATAAAGCATTTTACGCCCCCCTCCTGAACACCCCTCCCACTATGCTGGTGCATCGTGCTGAGATGGCTGCAGTGCCGTATCCGGCAAGCTGTGGATTTTGCATGGTGGGGGGGGGGGGGGTGAAGGAGGTGGCACAGGCTTGTCTGTAACAGAAAGGAGGTCAATCCAATGAAAAACCAACTGCATGCGACTGCGGGGGAAACCCACTAAGGCCGCCTCAGGGATACAGTGCAATCGCACAACAAAGACTCTCTCCTGCTGGCTCCGGAATGCCGAGATCCGGAATCCTGCCTTTGAGAGGAAGACGGACGGGTCCCAGGGGCCGGCCTGCGCTCAAAATTAACCGCGCGGGGCCTCGCCGACTACAGGATCCGCACGGTAAAGGCGGCGGGCTGGAATTAATTTTACCAGATGCCGCAAAGAGCATTAATGGCCCGGGATGCACTTCAATAACAGAAGGGCTTTGACCAATCAGACGGCATCTCACGTGCAGGCAGCTGAACGGGGGAAATAAGCACAGAGAAAACGGCCAATATCATGGGGATTTGGCTTCCCTGAAGAACACTGCAGAGCGTGCAGCACAACCTCCAACTGCAGGTCATCTGACTGATTTCGTTTCAGGGGACGTGACCCAAACAAACCGCCACGCCAGCAGAACCCCCTTAAGCAGCTGTCTTGGGGCCCCAGGACAGCAAGGGCGTGAAGGTGACGCCGAAACCGACCCGCTGGAAGCTGCGGGTGATGAGGAACTCGCACTGCATCATGTCGAAGAAGATGGGAATGGTGGCCTTGCGCAGCTCCATTTCCGGCACCAGTGTCATCTCCAAGATGGGCCCCACCATCTCCGGGATGAACTTGATCTTGTGGGGACCTGTGTGAGAGCAAAGCCACGACCATGAGATGGATCATGCAGCTGGAGGGAGCCCCCCCTTAGGCCCCCCCTCCCTGCCCACACAGGAGAAGCCGCTGGTGAAACGGCGGCCCGGCCCTCCCAGGAACCTTAGCATGACACGCCTCTCTCTCTCTGACATGCTCAGCCCTTTGCTGCAGGTACAAATATGGTTTGGACCCTATTAATTCTTTATATATATCAGTTTTTAGCTTACCTCAAATCCCACGTGAGAAAAACTGATTACAAAAAACAAAAAAGCAGATGGAAGAGTAGTGGACGGACATTTCCTGATACCGTAACAGCGGATACTGATGAGGCCGAGGACGACCAGGCTTACCCAGGTTATACCACATGTCTCGGATTTCAAACCCGATCTGCCGCCTCATGTCTTGGTACCTAAAAGATGAAAGAATCACGTAAGTGAATAAAAGAGCGTGGAGTGCTGAGTGGGGGGGGGCGAGTGTGAATGTTATTCTCGCAGGCTCACACGATCAGCCCCCCCCAGCTTAAGAATCCTCCTGGAGCCCAGTGGCCAGTACTACGAAGCGGGGTTACTGGCTTATCGGGGTAACTTGTCGGATTTAAGGTACCACAGTTTAAATGGACTTCATATTTGTTCACTTACATTTTGCCCAGACTACCTTAAATCCGACAAGTTACCATGATAAGCCAGTAACCCCGCTTCGTAGTACAGGCCCCAGGGGGCAGATGGCCCCACCCACCCGGCAATCGGCTCCCCTACGCATCACTCAGATGACAGCCCAATACCAGTCAAAGCACTTCAGCTGCACCCAGCTCGGTTGAGGAGAGAAAAAAAAAAATACTAAAAGAATGATATGTGGGAATTTAAATGACACCCCCCCCCATCACTTTTATAAATAACCCCTGACCCCCCGCTCCCAATTGAGACCCACAGCTGCATCCTGACACCTCAGATGATTCCTGTCCCCAGAACAATGCTGGGATCCGGTCAGATGGATGGCGAGGAGCACATTAAACTTAATTTCGCTGAGAGGAAGCTAACTCTGTAGCAATCTGGCCCTGAAACACGTATAGCAATAATAATAATGGCCGACAGACGGGTGCTTTTGTGCATTCACTGACACTCGCGTACATTCAAAACAAACAAATTAATAATGAATTGATACGACCCCATTATGCTTCTCAGCCAATATGGCACACGATTTGACAGGGATATTAAAAGCCATCTCCTTGCCTTATTCATTTTAGCGTAATTACTCTCTGTCGGGTCCCTTTCAATAAGTGAGCTGGGTGTGTGTGAGAGGGGGGGGGGGGTCCCCTGTAAAAGGTGTCAATGACAAGCGCATGCAGTGTTAAATGCACTGCAATGCATAGGATGGCCACTGGGCCTTACTGCATGTGAGAACCTCGCTGATGTCTTGGGCTGGCTGGACTGGGCTGGCACATGTTTGTGCTTTATATAAATAGCAAGAAGCTGACATGATGGTGACGTGTTTGAAATCCATGACAGCTGAAGGCGGGGGCGTGGCTCCCTCTGTGTGTCATCTGCATGCACCCAGCACATGGCTGTCTTTAAATTATGCACTCCATGTGCATTTTAGGGGGGGGGGAATAATTATAACGCTCACACTAACAGACTTTACTTATACAAAAACAAAAATTAGCGATTCCGAAGGATGAAAATGAAATTAAAATTCCACACTGAACAAAGAAGCCCAACAGCGTAGTGCACAGAAACGATATCTCAAACGGCACCTGGGATCTCACCTTAAGCAGCAGCATGCAAGTGCTCTACTCCGGCCAGTAAGGCGTGTAGCGGCGCTGGGAAAGCAGCCTCGCAGCTGGCTAGGGGCCACAGCGCCCCGCGCCCTGAGGGTGTACGCTAATAACGGGGGGGATAAACCGAAAGAAGGTGACCTTCTCACATCTTAATGGCCGTTTTGATGGCCGCTTTGAAGCTGGGCGACAGGAGGGGTGTGCGACAAGAACCATGGGTTGTGGTCGGCGGGAGGGACCTAGACCACCGAAGGGAGGTGTGTTACACGGTGACGGGTCCTTAGCGACGGGCGTCGGGGGGAAGCGGGTGCACCGTACCACGATAAATTGAAGTAGGTGGAAAAGCCGAGGCTTCAGATGAGTCAATAAGGAGGCTGGTCTGGTTCCGACGCATGGCAGTGCTGCATAGATGCAGAATGCGACATCGCACGTGACCGCGCAGCCAGCGAGGCGCAATCGGCCCCCGTTTATCATGGTCGGCCGGGTCGCGGGTCGGAGTGCCCAATACGGGAGCTCCCCAAAGCTAACAGAACGAGGAGCAGCACCCCCAGAGCAGAAAGCTTCACACACAGCTGTGACCTTAACACGAGCGCCGCAGCAGGGCTGCGACAGGGAACGGCAGCGGGCTGAGGAAGGCGGCGAGCGGCTAGCGGCCAGCGCGGAGACCAAGAGGAGGCGGCGACCACACTCACTTGTGGAAGATCTTGGCCCTCTTGGCACTGGAGAAGTTCTCCAGCTGCAGGGACTCCTGGGTGAGGAAGGCCACCGCCAGGTGGAAGTAGTTGTTCCAGAGCTGAGGAGAGGCAGGAGGCACGGGGAGGGTGAAGAGGGGGACTTCAGAATGACAGGCACACTTACTTACCCATAATGCCCTGCTATCGTGCCTTTCACACAGCTCTGCCTCTCGCCGTCTCTCACACACACACTACCCAGGGCTATTAAGAGCAAGCAGCAAATATCACAATGACTACAGGGATCCTGGCACCTACTGAAACTGCGAACAAGGGACTAGTTACACTGTCCATGAATGGGCAAAACAAAAACTGGCATATAAAACCATAAACTGCGTACTGTCTCTTCTCTTCTGCTGAGGCTTGGCCTTATCCATACTATAGCAGGCAGGTAAGAAGATGGAGCAGAGAATGAACTTCAAACCCTGGGGCCTCGGGACACCACGGCGCCCTCTGGGGACGCACTGGAGTAGGAAAATATCGGCCCCAAGGCATTTAAACCTCACATTCCTCTCTACGGCCGGTTCCTTCAATATAATCCATAAAACTTCAGCTGAACTTTAGGTTACGTTTTATTGTTGGGAACTCCATTCCGAGTCCCTTGGTGACGTGTACCGTTGCCAGGGACGCAAAAATGACATTTGTGATATTGTGTTTCCCTCAGAAAAGGGAAGAGGACAAGGGATCCTGGGTAACTACAGTGTAGAAACCAGCCGTTGCACATACTGTATCAGCAGCACTAGCCTTAATCACTTCAACCCACCAGCAGACGAGGAGGAAAACTCCCCTAGAGACCCAGAAGAGCCACAAGGCTCTACAGGCTGATTCTACCTGAAAGAACGTGCAGATCCATATGAAAGTGAGACAAATGTGTCTTTCACAGGTTTCCACTGATCTAATGACTAAAACCGCAAAGCATCATGTCTCCGTGAGAAACCCAGGCCCATCGTTCCAACAGAAGCACAGGAGCAGGGAGGCACCTGGAGCTTACCTGGAGCTCAAAGCTGGTCTGATCCAAGAACCTCTTGTTCAGGACGGCTGCATACTGATTGATGGCCCGCAGGAAGACTCTGGAAGACAGTGGGGGGGTGGCTGGATTTAGACCCTTTCCAGTCCTCTGGCAGCTTGAGAGCCGTTATCCAGCATAAAGACGGACACCTGTCTCAGTCTAATTCCCTGCTTAATGTACTGATCCAAGGAATCCACAAGGGCTTCCTGCTCGCTTCAGAGGTACGCTTCGGAAATTAAAGTTTGCCAGGCTCTCCAGGAACCCCATGATAAGCCCAGGGAGGGTATGAATCCGCGTACGATCATGTTTATTCATCACCGCACAAGACATCCTCAGATCACCTTAAAACTCCAACAGATAGGAAGACTCAACAAACAGCGATCAAAAAAGCTGGGAAGGGGGCCAGCAGAATGCAACGGAATGCCTGCGGAGGTGAATGCCATCAATACAGCCTGCCAGAAGACCCACCCTAAGCTACAATACAACTGAAGTATTGACAGGAAACAAGCGACGGCAGGCGGCGTTCGCCTGGCATCTGCATCTTCGTTGCATCCACGAATGGTGCAGGAAACCGCAGCCCCGCATTAACTGCGTTTACCACCTCCCTAAAAACAGGGGCCACTGAGCGTTACGCGCCGAACAAGTGGAACACACTTAATTAACTCCAAAACAATGTGTCGCAGTCGACCCGGGCTTCCTTAAAACAGCCCCTTTTGCGCAAAGGGCATCTACGCAGTCGATTTGAACAAGACACAGATAATAAACTTAATTGCCGCTCTGACAGTGGGCAGGCATTAACTAAGTGATGAATGAGTTTGGACCACAACTGATTAAGCAGGTAGGGAGGTGGGGGCGGGGCATGCACCGATGAGAAGGCTTTTTGATTTGTCGCCACCAAAGCCCGCTTATGCTCTATTGGTGGAGAGCCAAAACCCAGACATTGATTTTCTCTTATACGATTTCTAGAGTGGCTTTACTCACACACACCTGTGGAGGCACACAGGACAGATAAACAGATGCGCGGGTAATGTCTCTGTTCGAACGTAGGTACTTTCTTAATTAGTTTGTGATAACACGTCGCCCGAAAGGCCCATATTGGGAGGGACACTGGGAACACACCTGGATCCATAATAAGCACACAACAAGGTACAGAATGGTGTATCGTATTCACTGACTGAGATCACGGCGTTTACGACAAACTCTGGAGAGGTCCTGACAACCACGACAATAAACATGCTGGAACAAAGAGGCGCGCTCAGTCCACAGATTTAGCAACAGCACCTGAATGCCTCGCCTTCGAATCAGACAGGGGCACGTGGCCCCCTCTGACGGCTAATGCCTCTAAAACGCTCCCAAGGGGACGTTCACTTGGGGCGTTACCCATCTTACAGCCAGGATGCGGCCGGGCAGCACACGGTAAACAGGGATGGGCTGCGATGCAAGCAAGCGAGGGTCTCCAGATGGTTCATTGGCAAAGCCGTTAGTCGTTTACTTTGGCAAGAAGAGGTTTAACAGAACTGCTCCCCGCCCCCAGCAGCTCTGTTATCGTTTAATAGTGTCTCGGCGAGGCAGTATCAGGTGACCTGTGTTATTACATCACAGCAGGCATCAATCAGGCCACTAGGATGCATGGCTCCATTGTAGCAGGCTGGGTGTCCCTGGGCCCTTGGAGCCGTCGAACATTCCCACCAAGTGACGGCTACGAGGATTGATGCGCGACACGTCGGCTCTGACGGCGCTGCAGATAACTGGCAGATTAAAGCAGGCGGGAAAAAGTCCTCTGGCCAAAGAAACACCCCCACCGCGTTTGGTTCTGAGACAAAGCCTGGCTCGCCGGGGGGGGGGGGGGGGCAGAGAAGGTATAGCGCCTGCCCCACCTGCCAGGCCAAATACAGCGAACACAGATGGTGGTAATGAGCGATTTGGCGATGAAAAGGAATCCTGCAAGGGAAAAAAATAAATACAAAAGATGAGTGAAGAGGAGGTCCATTCAGTGGGAGGGCGAAGGGGGCGTACAGCTCAGCTCCTGACTAGATGCATGCCAGCGACAGCCGTATGCGGAGTGCGATTAGCGGGGCGCGATTAGCGGGGCGGGCTAACTAAACGATGGTGAGACAGACCTAAGCACCCAGGGGCAGGCGGCTGCAGGACGCGATTTTTACAATAAAAACCCCAATGTGGAAATGTATTTGGAGCCGTCTGAGGTGACGGGTACCCGTGGCATTCTGGGTAATCATCATACAGGAAGCCTCCAGTCACTTTTCAGCTGCTCCGTAGCACACCTTTCACACTCAGCGTTTCCGTGAGAGTTTGCGCTAAGGGTCACGCTAGCTGAATTATTAACCGGCTTCTCATGGGGCGAGTAAGGCAACAGCCTGCGTTTAAGGTTAGAGGTCAATACTTCAATGCTAATGCTTTTGATGGCGGGGGGGCGGGGGGCTTTTCTGGTGCAATGCGGCTGGGAAATCCTACGGTTCTGAGTTGTTTCGGCGGATTATGGGAAGACCGCCCCCCCTCTCAGCTTGGGGAGGCTCCTACCCTGAACGACACACTCCCTGCAACATTAATCACCGGAACCGTGTAACATTTATATGAATATTTAACATTGATTTAATACTGAATATTGATAACCCCACAAGAGACCGACACGCCTTTGGTTACCTACTGCATGGCTCTATATGACATTATACACACTTTCAGGTGAAAACACGACTGGCACACATCGTACTACACCAACTTACGTTTTTATACCTTAATTTTTTAATAATGGGGAAAATGAGGAGACAGAGGCAGGTCGGTCACACTCCTGAACTGCTAATATAACTTGAGGCTTGCTGTACGGGCAGGGCATGTCCGCGATCATCCGTCTCTTTCTGCCACATCACACTCACCTTCGCGGCTGATGGCTTGTCACAAAGAAAATCACAAGAAGATTTTTAGTCTGATTGGATACATGACGACAGTTTAACTGATTGAGCTAAAAAAAAAAAGGTGTGGATCCTATATTCTGTCCTGATTCTCATGCGCGCGGCCAGTCGGCGGAGTGACCTAAGTATGAAACAAGAACAGGTGCTGATCACGCTGCTGATCGCCAGTATTCTCGGCTCCTGCTCTATCTATTCACATCTGAAACTGCTTCCCTCCTCGCACCAGGCTACGCATGTTTAATTCTGACCTTGACCTGACTGCTGATCCGTGTGTTTCAAAGCAATTTTCTCCCGTTGGACCGTTCCGGAACATCCCCCCTCGTCTTCCACGTGAGCCCCTTACGGCGAATACTAATGTGGAGGCGAGCGAGCAGGGGGGCGAAGCTGCGGGACTCTGACCATCGCCGTGGCAGCGTCATTAGAGATGGGGATTCCTGCACCTCACTGACCTGGACTGGACCGGGATTCCTGCACCTCACTGACCTGGACTGGACCAGACTGCCAGCCACTCACCTCTTCCTGCATCACCTGCTGATCCGATTAAAGGGATCTACAGATTGTCTGGGTGTCTGTCCGTCGAATAGATTGGGCCAGAGGTAAAACGCTTGATAAAAGGGGACTGGGGTGTTTTTGGGGAAGGTTTATGGTCCACTGGCGGGGTTTCGGATTGAGCGTGATGCCTACAGGGTCTGTGGTCAGGTGAGGCCCCCAGATGGACCTGGGGGTCCGAAGAGGTTGTATACAAGCCCAGAAAAGCTTCTTACCAAGATCAAGGTGGGGAGGATAAGCCTCATTTAAATGTGTTCCCTTCCAAGGCTATAATTTGCATTCTACATCTCCAGTGCCGCGGTCCATTGTACGATTTCTGCACCCATGCATGAACTTATGCAAGCTGTCCCGCAGGGTCGCAGCGGAGGCCGGCGACATTCCGACAGCCTCCCTGGGCAGTGCTCGAGTTTCACAGAGAATTCCCGCTCAAACAGACTCACTCACAGGCTCGAAGTTTCCATACTGCTTGCTGGCAGGGAGAAAGCAGAGCTGCTCGAGGTCGAGGATGGGAAGTTCTTGGGGGGGGGGCGGGCGGTAACAGGAAGAAAGGGATCAGCGCCATGGGACATTAAACAAAAGGACGGGGGGGTCTTTAAATGTAACGTAGCCATTCAAAGATCATCGCAACCAGCCAGAAAGACCTATTTTTAAATTTGCGGTTATCTTGTACAATTGAAGTTCATGCATGCAACATTTCAATACACAGAGAAACACTCCGGAGAATTAGAAGCCACTGTTAAAAGGGTTCTGCAATGCTGAGGGACTCAGAAGCTGTCAGGCAGCCCCCATCTTGGTTGGGAGCGCTGGGGGGAGGCGGGGGGGGGGGGGGGGGGGGGGGGGGGGGGGGGGGGGTTTTAGGGGGGTGAAACGGCATTTAATCCAATTGATCTGGCAGAGATATAAGAAACAGGCTTCAGAGGCACCGGAGAAGACAAGAGGCAAGGAGCGGATGGGTCTTAATGAGAAGATGGGGGCAGATTGCAGAATCGGAGCGGCAGCAGGGCAGCGGCCAGACGCTCGCCACCTTGGACAGCTCCCCGCCGATAATGGCCCTGGGAAGGGAGGCAGCCTCGCCGGAACAGGCCTCCCCATTCTGCACTGCCCCGCCATCCACCCCTAATACATCAGATCATCGGCCTTTAAGTCTGGCTCTGAAGGTGGTTACCCTTCAATAAGCACCATGTAGACCTGCTTTTCCCCTGCACACCACATTCCTTTCCATTCAATTTATTTAAATAGTGCATTTTCACAATATTACACTGTCTCAAAGTGCTTTACATCGTCCCTCCCCAAAGCCCCATGAGATCAAGTCAGGTGACAGCGGGCAGAAAAACTTTAGGAGGAACCAGACTCATACGGGGAGCCTAACCTCCTGGGCCGGGAAAGGAAGTCCTGATTTATAAAGTATAACAGTGTATAGTCCAGGAGTCAAGACAGAAGATCCAGGATAGGCCGTTTCCTTCGGCGGGATAGAGGGGTGTGCATCCACATCTGAATCATAAATCTGTCCCGAAGCCACTCAAACTCAGTCATTTGAAGACAAGTTGGACTCTAAATACTGAGGCCATTAACTGGCAACTTTCAA